AAAAACATTCGGGATCTATCGCATTGAACATAGTTTGGATAATCATTTAAAAATAAGCAACAAAGTTCACAATGAAAGGGTAAAAAAAACAGGGACGTCTTACAACGATTAACAGATGTAACTTGTTTCCTGGGAAAGCATGAACTAAGTTTTAGGGATCACAATGAAGCAAGTGGATCCACCAATCGAGGAAATTACATGGACCTTCTAAGTTTTTTTAGCAAAATACGATGATACCCTAAAAAATCATTTTATTGATTCGACGACTTTCCGAGGTACCTCAAACAGAATCCAAAATGATTTAATTAAATGCACTGTCGACGTTGTGATGGATCACATTAAAAGTGAAATTAAAAAAGCACCTATCATATCAATTGCGCTTGATGAAACAACAGATGTAGCAAACTTAAGTCAATTATCCATTGTTGTACGATATGTATTGAATGGCATTCTTCAAGAGCGATTCTTAGGATTTTTGGACGTAACTAGCGAACGAACTGCAGATGCATTGTTTAAAATGTGGTTCTAAGTTTGTTGCCCAGAGCTACGATGGTACTGCCGTAATGGCTGGCCATTTAGGAGGCCTTCAAGCTAAAGTGAAAGAGAAGTTTAAACATGCAATTTTCGTTCAATGTATAGCACATAGACTTAATTTGGTTTTATCGCAAAACATGGATAATATTAAAGATTGCAAAGTTTTCTTTTCGACGCTTAGTGGTTTGGCTTCCTTCTTGATGATTTTAAAAATAAAAACATTGACTCAGAACCTGAAAGAAAGAGAATTAGAATTGATAATGTCGGCGACAGAGAGACCTCCTATCGTCGATTATACGCCGAAATTTTTGATAATATTTTACAACAAATAAACTCTCGATTTCAAAACTGCAATTTGAATATTAATAACTACGATTCATCAAAATTTCCATCGGAAGCTTTAAATTAACTAAAATTAAATTATGGAAATTTTTTCGATATTCCAGCATTAAAGACCCAGTTAAGTGTTGTTTATGAAACTCCTGAAATTAGTGATAAAAAGACGCCCATCAATGTGTTTAATTTTCTTATAACAACTGGTTTAAATAAGTCCCTTTGCGAAATCGTCAAGTTGTGTGAATTAGTACTAACCATCCCAGCCACGTCAGTTAAGCGAAGTTTTTCAGCTTTAAAGCGTATTAAAAGTTTTATATGAAATTCAACAAGTGAAGACAGACTCTCTAATTTAGCCCTAATATCCATTAAAAAACAGCTTGTTAAACAGTTATCAGAAAATCCATACGACGATGTTATAGACAAATTTGCAGCCATGGAGGATAGGCGAATAGATCTTAAGTATAAATAAATGTCAACTGCTGTGTGAACTATGCCAAAAATGCTGAACAAATAAAAAAAACTTCAGTTAAATGTTTTTTTTACGTTTAAATAAACCAAGGAAGCTTTTTAATGGTAAGTTTTTTTATAGCTTCTAGTACTAAACCAGGAAATAAAGTAATAGTAACACTTTAAAAATCTCAATTTCGAGTATCCGTAGTACTGAGGAAAAAAAAAGCAAAATTTTGACAAAATGGTGAATGCGCCGCGAAAAATTTTCGTCTGCGGCGCTGTGCTTACTGGCCTGCTGTATTTTTATACAATCGCTTCCCCTTCCAAAAATGTCACCGCACGCCACTGATTGGTTTGGCATAACCAGATAGTGTCTCCCCGTCGCTATCAACCGTAAATTGTAATTAAACCAGTTTAGTTTATTTTATAAATTAGTAAATATCATAAATTTAAAACTTTATGTTAATTATTTTTAAAATAGTTATTTTATCATAATTTCTAATTTTTTACATTTTACTTAGTGGGTCGTAGAAAAAATACTGTAAAACTCGAGTAAATTTTTAACGCATTCGTCATCTTCCACTCTTTTGTACAAACTACTATTTTCTATTTTTTAATCCAGTTGATGGAGCGAAAACGAGAGGTAATGTTTTATTACAAAATCGGCAGAAATAATTTAATAATTTCTATGAATCGATATGAATAATTGTCATAATATTTTTATCGAACTTTTTTCGGCACCGTCTGTTTGTCATTCATTACCAAACCACCACATGGTTCGGATGATCTGGCTCGAGTTTCATGTAAACTATGTCAAACATTAATGGTATGGTTAATTGCATCCATTGTTTAATTTTTGTTTCAACGTTTATGTCTTTATTTTAAGCACATTTAATTCATAGGGATATTAAGTCACTTGGCAATGTTCCAATGCCGAGGAATGTTTACATACCTAAATTATTTTTAATTTTACTTTAGTTACTTAAAATATGAAACATTTAGTGTGCTTTATTGCTTGATGTCCTTCTTAATTTAGGGTTATTATTTATTTTTAATCATATGGACGGGTTTTAATCATATTTAGCAATGAAAAACCTTGGATCAATTGACAACTTTTAATTTTAATAATATAAAATAACCATGTTGATTTTATTATCGATTGATGTTTCTCCAACAATTTAATTAGTTCTATTGACAACGCAAGAAGAGAATAGATCGCTAGTAATAATCCTAAGGATATATTCAAGCTTATAAGATCCTCTCTCCCTCTTCCAAAATATCTATCCATCGGTTTCCTTAAAAAATCTGATGAAATTTTTTGTAACAATGATCAAGAAACAGTCTAAGCTCTAACCAACCATTTTTCATTAGTACCTGCAGGTAAATCACAGTTAGTCACAGTATCGGCACAGCAACTTACATCTTATGTAATGTTGACTTTTCATCTGCAACTGTTCATGAATATATCAATAAAATTAAATCAAACTTCTTGTCTGGAATTGAAAATATATTCGCAATGTTTTTAAAAGAATGTGCATCTTATTTGGCTTTTCCCCTATTCCTTGTAATGTCATCATCCTCTCGCCCTCAGTTCCTTCAATGTGGAAAATTGCTTCGGTGACACCATTTTTAAAAAGGGTGGTTCCAATTGCTTGTAAAATAATCAAGAGATACCATGTTTTACCAAAAGGATAGCATGAACAACACATTGTTATAGTCTATAGAAGAAATGAGTGTAGTAATTTAATTTGTAGAACGTAGTACACGTTCAAGAGGTAGACAATTTATTTATACCTCATCCTTTCATACTTATTTGAAGATAAAATAAACATTTTAGTACATCAGCTTAATTTACGTAACTCACACAGTGACGTCACATAGTAGGGCGGGGCATACGAATTTTCCAATAATTATTAAAAAAATAAAGAGGAGATGCTATGACGATATTAAAAATGTCCGAACAGTTTTACGTTATATGTCAAACCTGAGCAAGTGGAGTTAGTCAGTTTTAGTGAGAATAAATACCATTTTAAATTAAAAAAACCAAAAAAGGTTGACAGCTGTGTGCACGTAGTTTAGATTCAAAAGGAAAAACTTGTATTTCGTGCAAAACTTTTTTATTAATCACGCGAGTGACATTTTTGTTTTGTCTTGACATCAAAATAATAATATCATTTATATTAAACATTTATTTAAATTTAACTAACAATAAATTAAATCTTTAAATTCAATAAAAAATTTTGATCTCCGTTAACCTCCAATCACTCGAATCACACTCGGAGAAACATGTTCCACACTGAGGTGAACGCACCTCCTTCTGTTGACATTTGACAAGTCAAAGTCTTCAAGTGTCGCTTGTCACCACTGTCATGTGGAAACGGTTAAACAACTTGAACCAAAATGAAGAGAGAAATTTAAATTTGAAAATATTAATACTAATAAAATTATGATTTAGCAAGTTGTAAATATCCCGAAATATATAATTTTGGGAGTGAGAATGACCAGGAACTTGTTGGATACGTTGTGGACAGTAGGTAGACTTTTTCATAATTATAATGTATATAAAACATATATAAAAAAAACCTTCAGTTTTTTTACTTTGGCCTTCTGCGTTTTACTTTCTTCATATCAAATATTGTATTCTAGATTCAAATTTCAATATATCTTCCACAGTCACCCTCTAATTGTAAATTTCTTTAAATTTTAACTAATTTGTTAACCTTTTTTCAATTTTGTGAATAGTGAGGGTGGCATGATTCCTTAATTCCACACAAGCTAACTTGCTTCTGGAGATCAGATTTGATTTGTAAGGGCTTATCCCACACTCACTATTCCCAATACCAGTTTTTTGTCACTTTGTTTGTTTCTTGTAATTTTTAATTTGTTCAAACAATTGTATATATACTATTTTAACTTTTGACTTAAAAGTCTAATTCAGATTTTATAATATATTTTTTAAAATCTTTTTAAATTGTAAATTTACATCCACAATTTTTGTAGATGAGCACTGATGATGGCAAATAAGCCGAAAGCGCTTTGCATTGATTAATAAAAAAGTTTTGCACGAAATACAAGTTTTTCCTTTTGAATGGAAATACCATTTTATTTTTAATAGCAAGACCTAAATGATATAAAAACATTTTCGACAATGTCAAATTTTGTTGGTAATGATGTATCAGTGTCAGATTTTTAAAGGTATGCTAAAGCATGTAATTAAGTTTATTTAGTTACATAAATACATTTTTAGTGTAGTTTAAGCCTACTTAAGAAGTTCTTGATGTAATTTAAGTGATTAATGACTATGAGTCAATGGGTATAAACATATGAAGGGTACAGGGATAAAAGGGACTCATGAGCATTTTTATGTTTTTCCATCAGAGCGTGTTTAAGGTTGAAATTCTAGTTTGCGAACGCTACGTTGCTTTTTTCAAGTTTTCGAAATTTTTCTGAAGGTTAATAAATAACAAACAAACCACGGTAAATATTTTTTGAGACAGTTTATATTTCTCTGAACAAAGAAAGAACTACAAAGGAAAAAGAGGTTCATTTCATTGAAATGAGCTCGTTCTTTCACTGTACTACTAACAGCGATCGTCGTTAGTTAGGAAGACAATAAAATAATATTCTAAAAAAAGGAAATTTTTGAATATAGAAAAATTATATTAACGTCTAAATCTTCTTTATTGGTGCGGCAAATTTGCAAAAAATTCATGCGCTTCTCGGCTGCAACACTTTTTCAAATGCTGAATATCGCGAAACTTCTCAGCAGATATTGTAAGCTGTCCTAAAATAAATATAAAAAATAATAAGAGAAATACAGTGTGGTAATAATGAATAATTTAAAATACCTTCATAGCTATACTCAGGTAGCCTAAATTCGTTATCCTTGAGGTGACAAACAGGTAGCCTTGAGGATTTGCGGTCTTCTCCTTGTAATAAAGCTGACTCCCAAGCCCCATTGTATGTGGTGCGATATTGTAGAAGAGCTCTTCTCTGTATGTTGATTTCTCTGATTGGCCTAGATGGGAATGGCGACTTTTTAGGGTAACTATTGTCGAGAAATTTTGTCCAACTACGGAATAATATGTGATTCACATTGATAACGTTGAATGGAGTTGGCGAATGGCGGGCATCCTCCAATATTTGCAACCAGTCTTCGGGAACTTCTGCTCTCGATTTTTGGTTAACAAGACCAAAATTCTTATCACATTCCATATATGAGTGTCCTCGAATAGGAAATGTGACAACAACGGATTCTAACCTTTTCTCATTGTTAACTAGGTTGTGCAGAACACGAAAAAAAGTGAAATTCTTTTGTTGACCACTGCAAGAGTCACAAAATATTTTCAGATGCTTCACTTCTGGATCAAGATGGCTATATATGAAGTTATGAAGCAGTGAGCACACATCATCGGAACCCTTTTTCCCTTCGCATTCTGAATAAACATAAAAATAACTCCCAGAAGTAGACAAAACATGCACGTTAAATGCATATACTGATAGCTGTCTCTTGTAGTAAATATCATTTGTTGGTATATTTGGAACCTGCAGATTCTTGGCGAAGTCCATACAAATTGCCTCTGTGTTAGAATTTTTTCTACTGTTTTTCTTAGCCATTTTCTTCCGACTATAAAACATTTCTGCTTTTTTCTTATGTAATGTATTTTCTGTAGTTAATCTTTTTATTTCCATAGATATTTGTAGGTTTTCCGTATTTTCCAGTTTTTCAGATTCTAAATTTTTAATCTTTACTGTAAACTCATTACAAGCGCTATAAGTGTCTGTTCGCGGATATCCAAAAGAAATATTGAAGTCACGACAAAACACCTGTCTATACGATTCATAGGATATTTTATTGTATGCATTTTTTTTGACATTTAATTCCTCGGAAAGGTATATTTTTGTAGAGTCCTTGAGGCTATAATGACTTCCACGACCTTTAAAGGAATTAATATGTTGCCTGACCAGACTTAGTGTTTCTAATGAAAGTTTATTAAGATGGTTTGTGTGTTTACCTCGTTTATCCTGCGGAGTATATCCTGTTTCCTTTAAGCTTGATACCAAGATTTCCACTTTCTTTTTTGATATGCCATGAATAGCAATAAATGCTTTACGGCACACATTAAATTCCTTTGTGTTCTCTCCTACAAGAGCCCGAATCCTGTACTTATAGGATGCACCATAGTGTTTAGCGCCTTCTTTTAAAGTCTTACGTTGAACAGGAAGTACTGTTATTAATCCACAGAGATATAAATTTTGAGCATCAGTCGAACCTAACATATCAAACAATTACAGTCTGGACCCATTTCATGACTTTCGACCCTCATTTTCTTTTTAACGTCCCTTATTCTGCCATAAGATTTTCTTTTCTTACTTCTAGCCTCCATCACACTACTTATATTTAGCTCTCCATCACTGCTAATATCACCACCTTCCATAATGAAAACTCAAAAATACACAAACTTACACTACTAGAGACGCGTTCTTGACGGCTGATGCAATAATACTACGAATAATGGCAATCGCCACCCAAATCAAACAGGCAAAAAGGCGCGCATTGTACACGTGTTTACAATGAGCTCGTTGTTCCCGTGTATAGGTTTTTTTTAAGTGCAGATATCTCATTAACCAGCCCGTTTTATCTAGTTTGGAAGCTAAGAGGTGATAATATAATGAAAAATACTATCCATCCGGAATATATCGCTCTTTTGGCCAAAGATGCGATGAGCCCCTTTTACCCCTGTACCCTTCATATATTTTGAGCTTGTAATAGCCACGTACGTGGATCTAATACTGGCCAGCCACTATTACTCCCAAATTGTTTTTATATAATACAGAGTATTTCTTTATAAACTCTTATATATCAGATGCCTCGAGTTTACAAAAAGAAAGGTGACAAAGCACGATGGAATGCTGAACAACTTCGTGCAGCAAGAAAAGGGAAATGAATTAAATAAGAAGAATAATAAGGAAGATAAGGAGAATTAAGAAAATTCAACACCTGATAAAAAGCTTGAATTGTCGTTTGTTGATATAATTCCACTACAAGAATGCTCAAAAGATGCATTTAGAAATAAAAGATCCAACCACAATAGCAACAGGAAGCAACATTCAGAAATAATGACATCAACACCAATGAAGTTACTTAGAGAAGAAAAATAACGAAAGAAAAAAGAACAAATAAGAAATAAAGGAATACAACGAAAAATTGGCATAAACCCTATAAAATTCAATTCGCTTCGAATAGTAACAAAAATTGCCTGCGAACACAGAACACAGAAGATTACAGAAAAAACATTAACTGAAGATAAGGATGATCATGAAGATGAGAATGATCGTGATAGTGACGTTAATAAAGATACATGCGCAATTTGTCACGAATTTGGTAAAAATAGAGAACTGTGGATCCAATGTAGCATTTGTTGCTTATGAGCGCACAAAGACTGTACCAGTTTCGAAGGCAATGTACATTTGTGATTTTTGTAATTAATTATTTTTAAAATGGGGGTAATACTGACTGGCCACTTTTACTCTTCGACCGCGGGTAAATATGCCCACCTGCAGTAGTCGGAAAAAATCTTTAAATTTCTTATTTGCTCTGTTTAAAAATATTTCGTAAATACAGTTTAAGTATCAAGTTTTCAAGTTTTATTTACGTTAGTATTATAAAAATCTAAAGTCATATAACAGTATAAATAAACAAAAATGCTTAGGCGGCCACCATTTCCCCACTTTCCCCTACCTCTTGATATATAGAAATATTAAATTTAAAATAAATATATCTCTAACTCTACTATCACAAAAATATTAAAACAACTTTAAAAATCACTTCTTAACATGCAAAATAACAATTAGCTTCAAATATGACGTCTTGCGCAAGACTGATCGAATTTGGTATCACCTGTATCCTTTCCTAAATATTACATTATTGGCTGTTTACACGTATTGTAGCGTCATCTTATCGATATTTACCAAACTTTTCAAATAACCCTCATGAATCGGATAACCCAAATTAAACGAAACGCCAATTAGTTTCGAAACAATAAAGGTTTTCTGACCTAAACTCTGAACTTTTGAATTTTAGAGGTTAACAATAATGACCATGTCGGCGAATGGTATTCTAATGTTTTTCTTTATTACACTTTTAAAGTACATAAAGTTTTTAAGTATGCAATAAAGTAAATAGATACAACGATAAATCATTCTTTAAGGAAGTTAAAAACTTTTGGTACCCAGTTTCGAAACTTACAAATAAACTAAGTCGTATTAAGTATGTTTTCTAGTTAAGATTCGTCATTAAAATACGTGTTCGAGGTGCAAACTTCACAATATTAAAAAGAGAATGCATTCGATTAGCTTGTGCAGACAAGCTACTTTGAACACGAATAGAGGATGGAAGTATATGTTCCGAAAAATTGCCAATAACAATTATTCATTCGACGTCCTCTACATATGCTAAAATGGTATACTTCATACAATATAAAAACCTTTGAATATCTATTTATATTCAAAGATAAAAACCAATGCACATCATCGATGACGTATTTCCTCTACTGCAGTAATACCACCAACAAATGAATTAGTTTTGAAGGTCTGATTGAACACTAGTTGAATTGACGGTCGTATTTTTTAGAGATTACCTGTTCGTAATTTATTTTCTATAATATTATGACGATAAATATTCATTTACTACTTTTTCTTATTTAGTTGCATTGAAGATAAACTATTACAAGTATAAAATTGTTTTTATCATCCTTATTATGGTTAAATCACGTTGTTATTTTTTAATTCTATAACATTGAATTCCTACGCCTATGAGTTTTCAATTGTATAGTGACAGCTAAGTTTATAATAAAGTTTGTATTTTTTTATGAACTGTCGTTTTAAGTTCAATGTTGTCATATATTTATTGTGTCTTGTAATTGCAATTTGTTGATATTTTGAGTTATTTATTATTTTGAGTTATTTATTATTTTTGGTTGTTTCTTGTTTCGTTATTATTTTTGGTCGTTTCGTCGTTATTTTTGGTTATTTGGTCATTATTTTTAGTTATAAAAAACTATTCTTTTAAGAACAACCATATTGTCTTCTCCGCAGGTTTAAAAATACCAAAGAAATTAAATAGCCGATGTAAGGAGCTCATAGCTTCATCCTACTATCCGGAGGTGAAAAATTCACAAAAAAAAACACTCAAAAGGTACTACTTTCTATAGTACATTTTTATAGAAAAATTAAGGATAAACTAGCATTTTTCGAAAAAAATTAATCAAAAAAACTTAATTTTACAGGTTATATTCACAAAACATTCATTCTAAGAAGATTCTAAGTGACAGATTGTGTCTTGAAAATAACAACGTTGCCAAGTTGTTAATGAAATTATAAGTTTCAGGATTATTTTGTAATCCATAAATTGCCAGATTATAATAAATTGAAGTGATTAAAAATCATATATTTATGGTTTACTTACGATAATAATCGTACCTACATAAAATGAATAAATTAAATTTCGGTAAATATTGGGAAGACGCCCTTTTCTTAAAATAACTATTTGTGTATTAAGAGCAAAAAGTGATACTTTGCCGCTTGAGACAGAAAGCGGCATCGACAATATTTTTTCTACGACCACATTATTTTAAGAAATAGATATATATATTATATCTACATTTATCATGAAAATAGCAGTTAATATTCAAAGACCATGTTAAGTTGGATAATGTAACAAAAAAACATGTAACTTACGTACAAATAACTCGAAATTCGTTTATTAAGAAGAAATGTCAATATATTATACCTAATTTAAATTAGGCGAGCAACAAAGCTGTCAATTTTGTCGCTCGACGAGCAACAACTTGATGTCAGTTCGCGGAAAACGTCACCTTTGCGGTTGAACTTCGAAGAGCAACATCCCACTTTAGATAGTGATTGTAGAAAAATACATTTTTTACAAAACTTATATATAAAGGGCTTATGAGGATCATTAAAGGATCATTTATGTAAACTTATTCATTGGAATTATATTTGTTATGTGCCGGCAATTAGCGATTTTTCCAACTGTCCAATAAAAATCAACGAAAAATAAATATAAAAAAATACCTTATTTTTGACATAATATTTTCATTTTAAAAAACAATACTTCTATTATTTTATTTCCAGTCACATCCGACCATTTTGATTGAATTGTTGTAGTACATAATAATAATTAAATATTAATATTACATCATTCATAAAGTAATAATCAATGTACTTTTCGAAAACTTTTAAACATAATTACTTTGTGTTATCCAAAAGTTTTTTAACGTTTTTGGAACAACTAAAGATGATAGCTGAATTAGTTCAACGTATTCTTGGTTTTTTAAATTACGACGTTTAAATTTTTTTTTATTTTTAAACTAAAAAGCATTTTAGATATGTAATAGTACATTATATACCTAGGGTGAGAAGTGAGCTATTATTTACCGAGCACTTTTATATCCTGAGGCGCGTAGCGCCGAGGGATATAATGTGCGAGGTAAATAATAGCTTTCTCAGCCGAGATATATATAGAATTTTTTTTACTACTAACATTAATGTATTAGCAATTTTAATTTTGACATAAGTAATTTCCTAACAATTTGTTAAATATTTCGAAATATCAAGCAGACTGGAGCGTGTTTCTAATCAGACTGGCTTTATTTATGTAAAAATTTGGCATGTGTCAAATTTTGGTATGATTCTAGGAAATATCCCATTGCATTTTTGATATTTTAATGACATGGATTTATTGTTATTAATTAATAATTTTTAAAGCCGGTGTTGAATTTCCTAGTTAATATATATTTTTACTGTTTACACTGATATATATTATCATATTTGATTTGATTAGATTTGATAAACCCAGCTTTAGTTATTTCCTACTTATTTTTCAAATATTTCAAAATATCAAGTAGTCTGGGAGTTTAGTTGTCAAATTAACAAAATGAAACTAATGAAATTTAGTTTCATTATTTACCTAGGTTTTTTTTTATTATCATTATTTACCTAGGGTGAGAAATATTACTTCTCATTAGAGGAATGGAGTAAATAATGGTGCTTTCTCATGTTAGTAGTAAAAAAAAGATTATTTTGACCTAGAAAGATAATTGCATCTGAAAATTATAGGGATAAATAAATTGGTAAATAGAAGGTAATACATTTAAATAGTATGCCCATGTTATCTATAGTATATTACATTACGAGTGTGGAAAGTGACATTTTTCACACGAGTGGCAAATATTGTCGCACGAGGCGCAAGCCGAGTGCGACTATCACACGAGTGTGGAAAATCACTTTTCACACAAGTGATGTACAATATTTTTCCTACGACCACAAAATAATGTCATCAAAAAAATGTCAAACCAAGGTTATTATTACTATAATAATTAAAAAGTATTTAAAAAAATAATCAACAATAATCGTATTT